TAGGATAAAAAAGGAAATATTGAAGGAAAAGACTCGACCAATAGCTGAGCACTCCGGGATCTCCGAGCACACTACAATTCAACATTTGACTCACCCAAAACAACTTGAAATTCTTCGATGGGCAAGAAAAATAGTTAAAATTTAGTTATAAAGAATCTTTCTAGGAGGTACTTGAGCAAACACCCTAGAGCTAGAAGGAAAGGATGTTTCTTTCCTCCCCTGTCTATAAGGTCAGCGACAAGGAAAGACAACTAACGAAGAAGTTTTGCAAGTTTACCACAAATCTCCTAGTATGTCGTCCTCAAAGATATAATGAGAAAAATCTCAAACTATAGAGTTGCTTTTCGTAAAAGATGACATGGCACAAAATATAGAATATTTGGGCCCATAAAAGATACCACAAAGTGAACATCAAGGTGTGGCATCTAAGAAATACAACTATGAGTGATCTTCCACCCAAAGATATTGGTGGAATCTTAAAAGGTCAAGACCTCCATCTTTATGGCCATCCATACCATCAAGAAAAAAGGGCTCCTAAAGAAGGTGGTCAAGTTAATCATAAATCTCCCAACAAGATAGCCACAAAGATATAGAGGAAAACCTCAAAGTTGTGAGTAGGAAGGGTCTATCAAGAAAATACTTCAAAATTTAACTTGCATTCGAAATGATTCAAGTCTCACAATGGATGTCGTACGATGAAAAAGGAGGCATGACATATGGGGCAGACTTCTCCCATATTTTTGTTGACAAAAGGTTTGTGGCATCTTAGAAAGTCAAGAATTTTATCTATAAGGTCCCGCACTCCTGTTGACCATCAAGGAAAGAGAACTCCCAAAGAAGATTGCAAGTGACCATAAATCTAATAGCAGGACAACCTAAATATTCAAGGGGTGCAAACATAAAGGGAACACTTAGAGTGACTTTTTTAACATAGGTTAAATCTAATACATACGCTTAGTAAAGGAATAAAAGATTGAGGACACAAACAAATAATGGAGAAATTAATAGTAAGCTTAACTTTGCTTTTAAATCATGATAAAATACGCCATCATGTTATGGTTTAAAATATCAACCTAGTTCACTAAGGAATTAATTATCATTATTCAGCGAGTGCAACAACATTATTTCAACGCTTAGTAAAGGAAAAAAAAATAGAAGATACAAACAAATAATGATGAAATAAATAGTAAGCTGAACTTTGCTTTTAAATCATGATAAAATACGCCATCATGTTATGGTTTAAAATATCAACCTAGTTCACAAAGGAACTAATTATCATTATTAAGTCCCACAAAATAATAAGCAATCATAGAGTTAAGGCATGCTCAAACTATGCCTAATGCACAATTTAAAATCATATGGTGTCAACTCAGATTATCAACATTGGCCAATAACTCATGTATGAATTTTTAACGTTTAATATAACAGTCCTAGTGAGCCATCACTTCGATATGTATATTTAAGTACACGTTGCATTAAAGTTGTAAACTAATTTATAAAATTCTCTACTATCAAAGCTATAGTTGCCACTTATGGATTTTCCTTGGACTCAGAGGCTGTAAATCCCACCTATAAGCCTCTCTATAGTCAGCCAGTCCCACTGATGGACCTTCCTTGCTCTTGAGATTGCAATATCCACTACTAGGATATCAGGATGTAAACTCTAGCCTGATTAATAGAGTCAGCACAAAGTCAACAAGTTTATCAAAACAAAACCTTACATAAGCCTCTCTTAGATTGGATGTAAGACCCAGCATTTTTACTTCAGTTTGTATATCACATCATAAAAAACAGAATAACTACGTGCTCCCTCTAATGCATAATGTGCTTCTTATGAGTATAGACCTTCTTATGTGATACGATCATGCAAGTTGAATTACTTGAAGATTTTGCACGCTTAAGTGTTAGAAGCCAAAATAATCATATCTTCACAATGAATTTTCTAACGACAAAAGAAAACACTAAGCGCGATAAAATAAGCTTAGGCTGAATCACACGCGTAAGAGTTAAAATCATAAAACAATCAAGTCAACCTATCGTTGCATACATGAATGGTTTCAACAATAAATCCCTAAATTAACAATGATGATAGTTGCTATGCAAGGACCCCTCACTCTACTCTCACATTTTAAAATACTAGGCTTTAGCGGGTAGAGCTAACAAGATCTTAGTGAATCAATTAATTCCACATTAGAAAATGACTAGGTAAATAAAGAATGAGGGAAAGAGATCACCGAATCCTAGGTTTGGGGCTTGGAACAGCAATCAGAAGATCTTCCCGGGCAAGACAGTCGCCCCTTTTGGCTGGATTTTCTTTGGACAACCTGAATTCTGTTTGGAGAATTGTGCGGCAGTTGGAGGACTTTTGATCTGCAGAACAGTTGTTTCTACTGCTGAAATTTTTCTGGACAGCAACCCTATAACTTAGAAAATCTGAACAGCAGCCAAAGGAAGGCTTTGGACAGCACCCGGAGGGTTCTTAGCAGTGAAACTGCTGATTTTCCTTTGCAGGAATTTCAGGACAGCAGGGTAGCACGTCCAGGAACTTGAGGCAGTGGATGTGGAAACCTTCTGGATGGCGTAACAGCAGGAAGAAGCATGCTCGTATTGTTGCCGGGTAAATAAGGGAAAGGAAGATCAGGTTTGAGGGAAAAGAGGGGGGAGTTAATTCTTGGTTTGAATTTGAATTGGAGGGAAATTGATTCAGATTTTCTGAAATTAATTTCAATTCCAACGGGTAGAGATAATTGGGAGGATTGATGGTTAATTGGAGGAGGCATTAAATGTTGCTTAGGTGGCAAAGTGGAGAGAGAGAGAGGGGGAAATGGGGGAGGGATTTGGGGCTGAATTAGTGGAGCTTTTAATTTAATTTGGGGAGAGAGAAAAGCCCATTAACGGGCCGGCCATATGTATTGGAGAGAGAGGCTTGAGTTTTTATTAAGTGAGGCCCACACAATTAATCACAGATTTTAAGAAAATCTGAATTAAATTTCAGATTTTCTATGAAAGGGAAGTTTCCTAATATAAAGACAATTAATTGGAATTTGTTTGAATTTCAAATTTGAATTGAAATTCAATTAAGAGGATTGCCTAAAATCATGGAATTATTTTAGGAAAGTCATCAATGTCTCTTGGAAAAATTTGAATTTCAAATTTGTAATCCCTAGGAGGGAGGCCGGCGGCTAGAGAAGTGGAGAGGGGATGAAGGGGAAGGAAGGCCGGCGGTGGGTGGAAGGCAGAAGGGGCCGCCGGCTTGGATGGCCCAATGGGAGTGGCGGCAAGGGGCTTAGGGGAAGGGAAAATCAATCCGAGGAAAAATAATAGAAATTGAAGAACTAGGGATTTACTCACCTCAAGTACTTCCACCCCAAATCTCACAAAGAAATCTTGGGAAAACTTAGAACTCACAAAGAGATCTTCCTCCTCTCATGAACTCACTAAGAGATCATCCCAAGAGAGAGAACTTAGAACTCACAAAGAGATCCATAAGCACAAGCTGAAAATTTCATATTGATCATCATCCCATAATACAAAACAACTAGCCTATAAATAGGCTCAAGAAGAAAAAAGAAATAAAAAACTAAAATACCATTCGGGCTACAACACTACATGACCACCCGTAAGGGTATAAAGGGAAAAACAACAATATAGAATAAACTAGTACAGAAAAATAAATAACTCAAGATCGTAGCCGTTGATCTCTGATGTCCTCATCACCTTCAGATTTCATCATGATTTTTCGAGAAGCAATAAAAAATAAACAAACAATCAAAGAAAGTTTTTTATTCTACCTCTCTTCCAAGCTTTTCTTGTAGCATATTAAGATCATCAGTTTTTATTCCACGTATGCTGCATAGACAAGGGAATTGCAGTCAACAAATCAGAAGTACTAAACATTCACTGATGCATAACATGTATTTTTACCTTAATAAGAAAAAACATTAAAATCACGTTAAGAACTCTTAAAACACGTTAGATTAATAACATAAAAACAAAAAGTAAATTAAGAACACAACCAAATTAAGTTGTCCTATTCTACAATCAAGTGCATAAAGAAACAAAATGATTGAAAAAACAAATTTTAAGAAAATAAACTTGCATCAAGATTCGGGACTGACCTCTTGACATTCAAAAGTGGAGGTTCATCTGGGTATTTTTCAGTATGAGAAAAAATCAAAGCCAACTGAACTGCAAAAAAAATACATGCTCAGCACTAAAAGAATATTTTCAAATGAGTACTAAATTACTAATTACTTTCTACGAACATGCTGGAACAGTATGAAACTTTTCTCATTAACTTTGATAATTGTAAGATGAAATGTGCAGTACTAGAAAAGTTGAACATGTATGACTTGAAAATAGACATGAAAATGCCAGTCAAATGAACTGACCTGGAGTATAATTTGATGCATCCAAATCATCCTCCTGCCCAAGAGGAGAATTACATAAGTATTCTTACAAAAATCATTCCCGTGAGCGCATTAAAAGTAAAGGGAAGGGATCCAAATTATCTTAACAAAAATCTAATCAATCTCGTCAGACATAACCTTGGAGTTCAGCTGAATTTATTATGCATTCTTCCATTTATGTCAGAGGGGAAGTGATGGGGACATCAGTTGGAAAGTTTACCGCCGACGTGGCCGTAGATCTACGGCCACGATCTGCCCGATGTATTTCTGATTTTAGTATGGTCATTTTATTTTGATGTATTTTATTTCTGCATTTTTCCCTTTTTACCCTTGCTTGAGGGATTGAGTCTTGTAGCCCCTCGAGGGTATTTTAATCTTTTATTTTATGTCATTGTATTAGGCTATTTATAGCCTTCATCTTGTACTTTTGAGGGTTAATGAATGATATAAAAAAATTTCCTGCATTTTCTTCTTCTTGAAGCGTTTGTGAGAGCTTGAGAGAGAAAGTTTGTGAATTTGGTGGAGCCTAGGAGAGGCCACCCGTCATACCCAACAGTCACCTGGTGGCTCTTGGTTTATCTCCCCTTCTTTCTTTTCTTCTACCCACACCCACCGCCGACCACCCTCCTCCACCAACAACCACTTCATAACCGCCCCTAGCCAAGCCTCACTAACTCCCCAAGACCCACCGTCCCCTCATCCAACCGGCACCACCTTAACCGCCGGCCTTCCCCTTGTTGTTTTCCCCACCATCTTCCCCTACACCAATTGTTAGTTCCCTTATTGCTTCTCCACAAATTTCAAATTCTGAAATTCAAAGTGGAAGTTTCCAAATTTGTCCAACGCCAAATTAGGAAAGTTTTCAATGAGATTTCAAATTTCAAATTTTGAATTTGAGCGGATTTGAGATTTTCATAATTAATTGGGCGGAGCGAATTAGGAAACGCATAACTCCTTTTCCCTCACTCCCAATCCCCTCTACATGCCGCCGGCCCCCTTTAATGGGCCCCTCTCCTTTAGTGCTTCATTAAGGGAATTAATGTCATGCTAATTGAATTTCAAATCCTTTTAATTTCCCTCCAATTTTAATTAAATCTGAGAATATTTTCAGATTTGGAGTTTAACTCATTCTCTATTCCATCTAGCCTAGCCTCCTCTAAACCCTAACCGTCTCCCTTCCCCTTACCACCTGCCGACCACCCTCTCCCACCGTCCACTCCCTCTCTCTCCACGCTCCTTCTCAAGGTGTCTCTCCCTCATTGATTTGAGATGGATGATCAATCCGGAGTTGAATCCGATTTTGCGTACGAAGATTAAGATTGTATGGATCTTCTCAACTTGCCTTCCTCAACTTGATTCCAAACATTGTTGGATGCAAAGAGAAGGTCGCCCACCACTTGCTACTCATTGTGATCAAGGCTAGGGAAGAGAAGCTACGGAAGGTTTATAGTGATTCACGTCATCTCTCCGAGAAGGTGATCTTCTTCCTTGATTCACTTACTTTTCAAATTCTACTTACTTTGTTGAGAGTTTGTGCAAGCAAGAAATTGTGTCCACTAATCGCCATCCATTAGTAATCGTAGGTTTGTTACTTCTTTGCTATTAGATTTCATTGTTAAGTCTTGGTTAAGTTGGAAACTACTTCGCATTGCAATGTCTTAGTTTTCCTATGTGTTTTGATTTGGCTCAGTCTCTTGTGTGGCTTAGGCTAACTGAGTTGAGCCTTTAAGAGTTGTATCTTGTTGTTTTAATCACGAATAACTAAAATCTGAAATTGCTCTTAACATATTTCGTGCAAGTTTCCGATTCATGCATGTTGTTCTGCATTAGGAAGTCATTTAAATAAATGTTTAGGTTATTTGAGTCAAATTATATCTTCTTGACATCAAGGTTATGTTACTATTTTATTTGGTATATTTTATTCAATGGAATTAAATATGTAAAACTGTTTCTTGGGCCTTGGCTATTAGTTATTTTTTCTATTTATAGAGTAAATGAACAAAATGATCCCTATAATTTTTTAGGTGCATTCAATTAAGTTCCAAGCAATTTCAGTGTTCAAATTTTGTCCTTCAACTTAACAAATCAGAGCCAATTTTGTCCCTACAGTCAACTTTTCTGCTTCTTGGGATCAAAATTAATGGAGGAAAGTTTTGCATGGCGTATTTGAGACTTCATAAGGTCAATCTCATTAGTTTTAGTTGCTATTAAGCAACAAGACTGGCCATTAAATGTCCAAGATGCCCTCATGGAGCACTTCTCTCCACCAATTTCCATCCAAAAAGACCCAAAGTTGACAATATGCCTAAATTGGTTCAGATTTTGTGAGTTAGGGCACCAAATTGAATGCTTTAAAAAGTCACAGACTAAAATGAACATACGTAAAAAATTCTAGAGATCATGAAATTTAGCACGTGCATTAATTATGTATTCTTCTATTTATGTCATCAAAGAGACATTAATCATTCCAACAAGTCTAGGGAATGAGTCATATTATGTTTTATGGGTATTAGCATCATTTTATTATTTTGTTTGGGTTATGTTCACACCCGTCATTAAAATTGAAAACAATTTATTGGCATATTATTATTTCTTCCATCTATAAAGAATAATGAGTTATGTACGACAATTTATGCATGATTAAAATTCTTATTTTGAATGTGAAAGTCATACATCTATTATAGAATTTTGACATTGATTAAGCAAAAGCTCAAAACATTGCAAGAGAGATTAGCACCTTGTTTGGGTAAAAGACGTGCTTAAAAGGTTCTATTTCTTAGTCTTAATCTTCCCCATTTAATTTGTATCCATATTATTATCATTTTTTAAATTCTTTCATAGCAATCATGCATCAAACTACCATTAAGGATATGACTTGTTCTAACTTGTTACCTTGTAGTTTCATTCAGTGAGGTATTATTTAAGACTTCATGAAGATGGCGAAATTCTTTATTTACTTTTTTCCCAACTTGTGCCTACCAATAAGAAGCTAGTAGAGAATTTATTTTCTTTTTTATTTTTTTATTACTTTCTGCAGAACATGAATACCAACTTAGATTCATTTTTTTGCCAATGAATTTCCTAACAAATCAACTCTTTATCTGGAATTCGAAAATCGCGCCGCAAGTCCTCGTCAAACCGCAAAATAACCCTTCTAAAACTATTATGTGAAGCCCTTTCAAATTTAAACGAAAAATACATCATCATTATCAGCTCTATACCAACTTGATCGGTTTATGAAGCCTGTTTAATGCTCCACTAAGTCGTAAACTTGTTTTGATCAAATCTTTCTGCATGAATTCTATCAAGTTACCTTTGATCTACCTCCTTTTTATCCTAATCCTTCAATATTAACTTCATCCATCCACCTTATTGATCTGTTTCTACCCTTTGTCATATATATACCCAAACCATCTTCTAAGGCATATTTTGGTTTAGCTTATTTGCAACATAACTTTTCAAAAAGAGGTTTTAATTTAGACAAAAAAAATGCTAAGAAATTTATCACTTTAAATGTTCACCTTTTGAAACAAATATGAAAGACTTTACTCATTGGGAAAATGAATTATGTGTATGGATGTTATACATGGCATTTATTTTCTATTTCAATTTAGCGTAAAACATGTCCATGATGATGACCTGATTGAGAATAGGTATGTTCTCCAATGTTTATATTACCTATATGGCTTAGTTTCTTGATCCCAATGTTTCAATTAAATATTTAAATACCATGGTGTTCACCTCATTATTGGTATAGACCTTCCTTGGACTCACTATGTGCTTTGTAGGATTGTCCTCCGTTGATTGTAACATTCGTTGGCTTTAAGCCATCGATCAAATCTACTTCATGCATTCTTCGCACGATTGAGCGTGACGATATGTTGAGTCAATCATGGTCGCCGAGATTCGTCGCCGTGCTCGAAATTGGATTCTATGAGTTGAATCATGTTCTTCAACATATTTGGGGATACATGTGACAAGCGCAACAATAATTTCTCAAAGATTTCATGTAGTTTTGTGTGGAAAATTTTCATTTGCATGAAATTTTCGCCCACATGAAAAACTTTGATCAAGGCTTCTGCTGCGAAATAGACTTAGTGAGCAAGTATGAATTGTTATGTAGTTATTTATATATTTATAATTTTATATTATATTATAGTATCAATATATCATATATTAATTTCTCTTCTCTACTCTCTCTTTTCTACTCTCTCTTTTCCATCACTAAAAAAAACTCTTTCCAATCTTTCAAACATTAAAAATATTGGAAGAGAGGACCATCCATTAATATACATGAGGTCTCATGCCCTCTTCCTTCCTTGGCTTACTCTCTAAGCTACCTGTTGGATCCATTTTGTTTGGTGGATGATGCTTGGCAGTACTAAGCACCACAAGCATACAAGGGGGTATGAGGGGAGAATGTGGAAAAATATAGACTACGATAAAAGAGGGAGAGAAGGAGACGAAATCTTTATTATCCAGACCAGAAATACAAGCTAGTAGAAAGCTTAGAGCTTTTGGTTACAAAAAAGGGTTATAGCATCCCATCTGAGGCTTTTCTCTAAATGGAGTTGAATTAAATCTCTCCTCTTACTTAGTGCTTGTGGTTGTGTTTCTCTCATTTTCCCTCCTTTCCCTCCATCATCCTTTCTATTGTCCGTCACCCTCCTTTTTACAGAGTTTGGACGGCTAAGTAAAGTATGTCTTTGATGTGTCGGTTGTCCGATTAGGGTTTGTCGTTGGTCGACCATCGATGTCAAATGGAATGTCAACTGAGAGGGGCGAGTCGGATGTCCCACTAGAAGCTTGTCGTCGTTGGCTGCGAGTGGTTCTGGGACCTTTACTGAGATTAGAGGAGGTCGAATGTCTCTAGAGAGTAGTCAGATTGATGGATTGATGTGGCGTGTAAGGTTATTCTGCGATCGCCCTATTTGAGATGAGAAGGGCAAGTGATGTCTTGACGAGGCCTTTAGATTGATCCAGTTGCGAGAGATGTTTTATTAGAGTGGTGTGTGTCACCCACAGTTTGATGTAACCTTGTTGTGAGAGATGTTTTATTAGGATGCCTGCTTATTGTCATATCTGACACATATTCTTATAGATATAGGTTTTGGACATATAAAATTTTAGGTGTTCCTTTAAGCTTTTAAAGAACACAAAAAGATGTTTAAAAAAATTAATTTTTTTAAATCAAAACACTTAGGCTTAAACCCCTTTAACTACCATATAGTAAAAAATCATAAAATCCTAAACTTTGAAAGATTGACCAGTGTAGTCCTTACGAGTCTCTTGATTCATGTATTTGACCTAGCTCTTCCCCATCGACCCTAGGCGACTTAGCATGCTTCCATTAGTCTAGTCGAGATGATCATACATCTAGCTAATAGCTTGCCTTAGACAATCTCATATGATATTTGAATTTTTCAATAACTTTCTCATATGGTTCTAGCCTTCCCTTTAGATAATCCGAGTTGGACTAGAAACCTCCCATAGGGTAGTTCAGGTGAGACCATACCACCTTATAAGACCCTTATGGTTTCTCAACCCTAGCTTAAGTTAGTTGCCTCTAGGTGAACTAGTAGTCTCCTTAGCTTCTAAACTAGCTTTTAGGGTGCCTTAGAAGGTCTCATTTGATCATGAGCCATCTAATGACTCCTTCATTTAATTCTAATGACATTTAGATGATCCTAAGTGTGCTAATAGTTTAAACTCTAGATTCCCCTTAAATGATCCTAAGAGAGCTAGTAGTTTGACCCTTAGACCTTTCTAATGACCCTAGAGTTATCTAATAGATCCTTTCATCTCTTTGTCTCTAGTATTATCCTAGTGGAACCTAGGGTGTTCAGTTGTCTTCTTAGTTCAAGTTGACATTAAATTGAATAGTGGTATGCACTAAGTAGCTTTTGATCATCCTAAGATAGCTTAGGTACTAGGTTCGTTTTTATGCTACCCCTTTTAGCCTTAAAAATGGCATGCCCTACCCTAGAGTGGGATGAGTTCACTCTAATGGTTTTTTAAAATTAATGAGGCCTTAGACATAAGTAACCTAGGATATTTGGAATGAGATCAAGCCCATTCTTTAATATTTCACCTTTTATCCCTCAGACTTGTGTCTTAGGAGTCATGGAATGGAGACCCTCTACCCTCCGGTTCTTAGACGACTTTCACACTCATCCTGGCTTTTAGTTTTGCTATTTTCAAGGATATAAGTTTGAGAACCCTTACAATGACGCATCCCACTTCATGGTGGGATTTTTTCATATCCGGTCTCTATATAATCCATAATAATAAAACTCCCGAGTTATAAAAGATGTAGCGTTGACAACCTAAAAAGTGTATTGACACCCGCACGTGTACATAATCCATGAGATACTAGTCGAGCAAACAAATAAAGTTCTATCTTCTAATGACAGATACTAAAACGGAACAATAAATTGTAAAAACTGAAGAAAAATGAGCACTCTTGCCAATGTATGGTCAATATATGTAACAACACAATAATTATGTGATACCATTTTAAGCCATTCCAAGCTACCACTAGGCAAACCCACATGATCCAGTGCATTTACATTATGCAAATACAGCAAACGTTTTTTTTTTATATATACATTTTTATTTTAAAGAATAATATAAATAAATTAGCCTACAATAAAACAACCAAGCCAAGAAGCAGACAAAATAGCACATAACAATCATATGCTAGACATCTGGTATACCACTTAAGGATATGAGCCAAACTCCCTTCATCCAGCAATTCTCAATCTATGTAATCCTTCAGGTACTGGGATTTGGGTGATTGGCATGGTGAAAACAAAAAAAGCTCCAAAAATAAAGTGTCACTTAAAACTATTGATGTGGTCAAATTTCCAAGTGTGCACACTTTCAACCGAAGACAGAACAATTGTGCCGTCTTCACATAAGAAAATTATTAGGTGCGGAGACCGGACATAGAGATACGTTCGGACATTCACTTAAAATTTGACATGTGGAGTGCACTTTGGTTGCGCTTTTTTGTGCGCTTTACATGCACTTTAGTTACGCTTTGACTACTCTTTTGGTGCACTTTTTTATTGCCCTTTATCTGCGCTTTAGTTGCACTCGATTGTTCTTTTGTTGCGTTTTTTTACCGTGCTTTGGTTGCGCTTTTGATGCATTTGGCTTAAATTTCCGCAGACACATTAAATATATAAAGTAAAAAAATAAATAAAACTGGACGTGTCAAATTTTAAGTGGATGACCGGACGTGACCGGACTTATCTCTACGTCCGGTATCCGTACCTAATAATTTTCCCTTCACATAAGGGAAGAAACCTAACTTACAATTAAAATTTAAAACTTTGACAAAATATTGATTTCATTGGAATAATAAACTAACGATTACAAATTATAAGTTTCTCCCGAACTAAGGTAGACAGCAAGATTTTTTAGAGATGCGTTCATCAATGACTGTAGTTAAAAAAAAAAAAAAACAGTTAAACGAAACAACTTTGATTTATAAGAGTTGTACGCATGTCCTCTTCAACAATACATTGAATAAATATGGCGTTTTGATCCAGCTTACAAGCTTTCCTGCCAATGCGATTATTGTGATTACTCGAATCATGTTGCAATCCCCACACACACACACACACACTGGATAACATTCCACAAATATAATAAAATAAAGACAAAGACGAGACCCAAATATAGTAGCTTGGCAAGGGAATCCAATTCAATTCCAATTTTCTCGAGCAATGGCACTCACTTGCGGTGACAGGGTAATCTGGAAGCACCGGTTTGTGGTGCTTACGCCGCTCTCGCTGGGGTCGATTTCTGACAAAAAAGTTCGCCGATTTATAAGATGGAACACGGCCCCAATCAGCCGCAACTATGAATTTAGATCTAAATACAAACCTTTAAAGTCATCCATAAGAATGGCTTCCAACGCCTCGATTTCCATCTCCTGATCCTGCGCGTGGTCTGCCTCAAAAGAAATTCGCGGAGAACACGGTGAACAGGTAACATAAAGGAGAATTAGGGTATACGATCTTACAAAAGTTTCCGTATCTACCAGTCATGGTTGCTTGAGAAGACGTTCACGGCCAGAAAATTTGGGTTTTAGGTCTGATAACTCCCTCTCTGAGGAAGAGAGAGATCGGGCGGCGGTACGGTTGTTGCTGCTGCAGGAGGCGGCGCGAGTGCATAAGTAAAGACTGAAAAAACTTGGGAATTTGATGTGTAATCTTAAAATCTTCGTTAAAAAGTAGCGAAAATTTTTAAAGGAATTTAGTATGAGGAAGGTTATTAAGAACAAATTTTAAAAAGATTAAAATATAAAAAATTGGGGTTTTTTTTTTATGTAATTATAATTCGCATTTTAACAAAAAATAAAAATAAAAAGAGTCATTTTATGTGATCGAACCATCTAAGACTCTAAGATAACTCTCTTTAATCTTATCTTTCACGAACAATTATTAGGTCCGGACATCGGACGTAGCTCTACATCCGGAGATCAACAACATGTCGTCACGTGCTCTTACTCTTTACCGCGCGGCCCGACGACCCGACTCGGATCGGAACCCAGTATTGCTAGGTATTGCTCGGTATTGTTAGGTATTGTTTGACAATAATGGAAATACCGCTCTGTCAAGACCAATACCGAGCAATACCGAGCAATAACTAGCAAAATATGGGTATTGCTCGGTATTGATCTTGACATAATGGTATTTATCATTATTGCTCTCATTATTGAAAAGCAATATCGAGCAATACCTAGAAATACCCCGGTCTGCGCAAATCAGTCAATACATAGCAATCCCGGGTCCGGTCCGGGTCAGATCGTCGGGCCGCACAGTAAAAAGTAAGAGCACGTGGCACCATTTTACTAACGTCCGAACGTAGAGCTACGTCAAGACACCGGACCTAATAAAAATTCATCTTTCATAGGAGCTACTTAAACTTTTTCGCTTATATGATCATTTGTATCCTCTCTTTAAGAGTAAAGTTACTAATCCACTTGAGCATCCCCATCTCTGCAACACTTAACTTAATATTATGCTTGTATTTTAATGGCCAACATTAGCACCATAATGCTTTGCAAGTCTCGTCACCACCTTATAGAATTTTACCTTAAATTTGTAAATTAAATTTTAGACTTTTGAAGGACAGCAAAAAAAAACACATGAATGCAAAATAAAAAATTATCTTTTAACAGAAAAGGCAAAAAAGAAAAGTGTTTTGACAGGAAACGCAAATTTTTTTTGCGTTCTGCTTTTAAACGAAATTATTTTTTTTACATATTTTATCATTTTAAGATTTGTTCTTAATTATATTTTTTATGATAACCAAATCTTAAATTATAATATTTTCAAAATTTCGCCTAAAAATTTTAGGTTTAATTGAGTCGTAGGGGCCTATTGATTCATTTCAGGTCAAAAAAATATTTATCTACACTTCCACTGACCGCCCCAACAATTTTGTTCTTCATTATTGTCAACATATATATTTTTTAATTTATTGTCAATCGAAAAGAACAATTTATATAGGACTATTGATAGATTAATGCACTTTAGAAATAGTGATTAAATAAATTAAAATGTTAATTAAGAGTTTTGAGGGTTAAATGGGTTAAATTTAAATATAATTCAATTTATTTATTTATATTTACCAACATCTTGTTTGTTATTCAATAAGTAACTTACTAAAAATTTAATATTAAGCTCAATGATGGCTTGTATATTGTTTAATTAATTTTGTTCAAATTGATTTTGTTTGATTACTTATTTAAAATTGATATATCATAAAAAAATTATCTTGATATGGCACGAATCTTGAGCCAAAATTGAGTTAGAAACTTTCAAAATTAAATATGGGATCATTCGAACTTCGTTTTCAGCAAACTTATAGTTGAATTGAATGTCTCGAAAAGACGAACGCAATGACCCTAAATTGGACTCAATCCAAGCACAATTTGGTCCAAATTGAGGACCCGAAGCATATTTGAAACATTCAAACCATAAATTGGATGATCAAATGATCACCAAATATGTCATGCTTATAGTTGAATCAAGAGGCTATACGAGATGAATCTAACAAGTCTAAGATTGCCGATTCCTGACAATATTAAGACACTCAGATACTCGATAAATGGTTTATGATCAAGGGACTTGATATCAACCATCTATTAAAAACACTCACAACTTGACATTGATCTTTTTCCTATTTACTGATCATGTCATCCTCAAAAATCTATAAATAGCCACTCATTCTTCACATAAATGGGAACCAAGTAAGGGGGAAACTAAGGTAGATAAGAAAGAGAGGAAAGGAAGAGAAATAAAAGTTCTATTTCCACTAGATCCCTCCTAGACTACCACATGGCGTCGGACTTTTGCCCGACCATCAACTATTGTCGGACTTTCACCCGACTACTAGCAGTCGCCAAACTTTTGCCCAACTACCAACTGACGCAGGATTTATGTCTGGCCAATGACTATCGCCGGACATTTCCTCGATCACCAACCGTCTTTAAACTTCTACCCGACCACCAACTGTTGCCAAACTATTATATTGTGTAACCTCTATTGTCAACCGACTACGATCCTTCTAACCACCATCACCTACAGTCACCTGACTACGATCTCCCCGATTGTCGTCGTCCGAATACGGTCCTCCTGACCACTTTTAACCCAACTACGGTCTTTTCAACCTCTATCGCCTGCCGATATTGATCATTTTGACCACTGTCACCTGACTATGGTCTTTCTGATCTCCGTCGCCCGATTATGCTCCTTCTAACCACTATCACTCGATTATGATCTTTCTGACCACCATTGTTTGCTAATTATGGTCTTTCCGACCACTTTCGCCCAACTATGGTCCTTTCGACCATCAACATCTAATTACAATCTTTCAAACATCCATCACCTACCAACTACAACCCTTTGGAATATCGTCATCCGAATATGATCTTTTTTACCTATGTGTAATATCAAAAATCTGCTCCAGGATCGTCCAGGACGATCTGGCCGTCCCGGATCGGGTCGGGTCGTGACACTATGTCACCTGAACAACGGTCCATTCAACCACCATTGCCCGACAATGATCTTTCTGATTAACACTGCTCACCAACTATGATTATGTTGACCAAACAAGCATGTCAACTTTGATTATTTTAACTCCCACCACGTAATGCATTCTATATAATGTATATTGGATACATCGAGTCAAGTCCTTTTCCCTAAGGAAGGGCCTCATTTGTAATCAACTGCAAACACTAGAGGGTTCATTCAAAATGGGCCATGCTCCATGGTTTTTTCCTTTTTTAATATTTTCCACATAAACAACTTGGCGTCTCTTATAGACACTACACCTTAATATTTTATTTATTTGTGTGCTAGATCTTCATATAAAACTAAGACGTTAAACTTTATATATCTTTACCACTATTCTAGGATGCAGCAATTTGACGCTATATATGAGAATGTGATTCCTAGCTGGGGGCAATTTTGCTCCAACCTCGAAAGTTCGTTCATGTCAACATCTTGAGCATGGTTGAAGCAACATAGCCTCTTTGCCAAGATTTATCATCAGATGTAAAAGAAGCCTCTCACTATTAAGGGTAACCTTATGTTTGTTTTATTGCCTCTCTAGTATCAGTCATTGTTGAATCAATTTCATAATAATGGTCTAACAAACAACCTCATATATATCAAATATTTTTGGAGGATTCTCTCGACATATTTCATATAAGTTAATATCATTGAGTAATGCTCTCATAAAAAATCTTGTATAGGACATACATCATTAGTGAATTCTCTTGACCTCTTCCACACATGTTAACATCAACGAGCAATATATGCTCTAATAAATAACTTCGAATATGTCATACATCCGTTGCGGATTCTCTTAATCTTTTTCACACATGTTAACTTTATCAATCAATGGTATAATAAATAATCTCAAATAGGTCATACATTCTTGGTAGATTATTTCAACCTATTTCACACATATTAACGTCATATAGCAACACTCTAATAAATAACATTAGATATATTGTACATCTTTTGTGAATTCCTTCAACCTCTTCTATACTCGATATCATCATCGAGCAACACTATAGCAAATAAACTCAGATACTTCATACATCCTTTGTGGATTCTATTAATCTATTCTATATAGGTTAATATCATCGAGTAATGCTCTGACAAATAATCTCAGATATGTTATATATTCTTAGTGGATTATTTCAGTCTCTTCCACACATGTTAACATTATCAAAGAATGCTCTGAGAAATAATCTCGAATATGACATACATCCTTGGTGGGTTCTTTTGGCTTCTTTCACATAGGTTAATATTATCAAGTAGTGTTCTAATAAACAACCTCAGATAGATCATATATCCTTGGTGAGTTCTCTCGGTCTTTTATATACATGTTAATGTTATTGAGCAATGCTTTGACAAATAACCTCTCATATGTCTAACTTTAATTATGAATTTTAATGGTTAAGTAAGGAGAGATTTTAGGAACTTAAATTCTAACCTAAACTAGTGTTTACCTAAAAAGGAGTCATATAATGAGGAGATTTTGAATTTTTGTGATTTAGAAATTTTAATTTGAAATATTAATTTTATTTTCTTTTGCAAATGATGTTAACTACTTGCAAATGTTATATTGGGGATTATAAGATTTTGTACATGTCTTTTTCCAAGAAGGGGGAAAGGAAATGGGGATCCTATGCAAGGCTTTAGTATAAAAGTTAGTACTAGAGTGCTTGGTGGACCATCACTATAGGAACAAACATATCAGTTGTAGGATTTCATTTAATATTTAAGTTTGTATAGCAATATTTTTATATTTTCTGTGTTTTATAGCTCTTATGTTTGTAGTTGTTGCTTTCAATTTCTCTTTAATTATTTGTCGTTGTTCTTATTTTATTGATGTATTCTCATTATGATTTATATCAAAGAAGCAAAATAGTGTTTTACTTTATATTACTTACTCTTATATATTCTATTTATATTACATATGTACATGATTTCATATGCATATTTCAATTATTCCTATGGTGATTGAATGAGGGGTTAGGTTCAAATTTACAAATTATTTTATTAAAAGTTTTGTCATCTAAGTCTGGTTCTATAATTTTTCCTCATGGCTTTTTTTATTGTATATATATATATGTACTTCTTGTATACTTGAAAAGCTTTGAAGTAAATGATTCTTCCACTTTCTTTTATCCATGAAACTCTTATAAAACTAAAGGCCCTATCATAATAACTATTTATTTTTAATTTGGAATGGTATTATTATTTTTTATGCTGCTTTTCTTTTTTGTATGCTAAATTTTTACAATTTCAAACATGAGAGCTACATAGATACAAATAAATAGAAAAAATATCCATCATGATGCTCTAATACAAAACACATCATAATATCCTTCAATGCCATTAGATTTGCAGTTAGATTAGTATAATTTATTATGTTATATTCAATACAAACTCAACACAAATTCAAGAACTTTGAAACCTTAGTTCTGATTATAAATTAAGGCTTCTTTTGGGACGGCTTTTTTATTGCTTCTTAAAGATATTTTTTAGTACAAAATTTTTAATTTTTGTACTAAAAAGCAATAAGAAAACCGTTCCAAATGAAATGTAAGACTTCATTTGAGCCAAAGTTCGAATTATAAATTAAGGCTTCGTTAGAGGCAGCATCTCTTGCTTTTTCTAGTTTTGGTGAATCTCCCAACATTCAGTATACAACACCACAATAACCCCCACCCACGCCATGTTATACATGCCAAGTTGATACTGGTTGCACGCACATGTACACTTGCTTTTCTCAAGTCTCTGTCCACACAGTGCAACTATGGTTTGGTTTGGGACAGCTTTTTGATTGATTCTTAAAGCAGCTTTTTAGTAAAAAAAAATTAACTTTTGTACTAAAAAAGTGCTTAAAGAAGTAGTAAGAAAGCCTCAGCAAACAAAGCCTATGTCACTACGTTAAGCCATCAACTTTCAGCCCTTAGGGCATCTCCAACGGATACGCAAACACTCGTTTGCCGTGGAGAAGGTCGCTCCAACAGAGCGCGAAATCTTACGGCATACCGTCGCCAATGAACAGTGCGACGCCATATTTGGCGTCGCACTGTTCACCCGCCATTTGGTTTTATTTTTTATTTTTTTTTTTTTAAAATTTGAA